TGCCTGGCTTTACTATCATTTAGGGCTGGAAAGATCTTAAGATGTTCATTATCACGCCTCAGAGGCGCTTCCTTTTGTTCTTAAAGGCCAGACAAGATGAGAAGATGACCACCTTTTCTGTCTTGTCATGTACTGCAGCCCATCAGAAGAAAATGTTTATTTTTTTTGCCGTAAAACTAAAGAAAAGGACAGTTAGAGCTCGCTAATCTAAACCATTTGATTTTCAACAGTCAAATATGGAGGTAAGTTGATATACACGGCAGCCCGTTTAAGACTGTCCTGGTACTTCCCAAATGTAGAACATCTTTCCTGACTATTCTTATGGAATTTGTAAAAGTGCTCAGGAGAGCACTCACCCTCACATGTGGCTCTCTCTTCATATAGGCTGACAGATGGTAGCCCACACATTTAGAGTTCAGGACATCTCAGATTGTTGGAGGTGTGAATTATGTAATCTCTCGAAACTAATCACTTTCATCTGTGTTCTAAGAATGTATGTGTGTGCGAGCGTGTAAAGAAAAAAAAGGCAAAGCTGTATTTCTTTCAAAGCTTCTTTCACAGGCTTAACATTAGGCATGAAAAAAAATGTTGGGGTTCAGGGTGCACATGGTAATTGGGTTCACAACTGTTTCCTTTTAGTGGCAACTTTGAGAAATCTGGAAGAAATATTTGGATGTTTAGTATCTCTTTTCCTTGCTGCCTCTAATAAAGATCATTGGACAGTGCATACATTGTCTTCCTCAGTGAAGTCTCCTCTACTCTGCGGTATGTTTGGGAAACTTGGATCTAGCCTTGGCAGACTTTAAATAGAAAAGGACACTTGTTCATACTCTCTCTTCCTCTGCTTTGTCATTTAACTCTGGAATTATCATATTATGGCATATGTTTTTCGCTGAATACTGTGACAAATTTTTATTTTCATTTTTTGTAATCCAAACATTATCCTCACCACTTGCTATAACGCAGAGATGGCACAGTCCCCCCCCGACAAAAGATTAAGTAACCCATCAAATAAATTATCTGGTTCAATTTGATGATGGTAACCCAAGTTTTATTCATTTACAACCTGCTAAATCTAGAAATCCCCCAACTGTTTCTGATCAGAAAACACAAAGTAGCCTAAACTATTATACAAAACAAAAGCTTTTTTAACCTCAATTAAACAAATTCAAATAAAAGTTAAAAAACCCCAGAATATTTAAATATCAGTTAGCCGACTTTATAAAACCCTATTTAAGGCTTTGGTACTCTATCTAAAGCCAGTAATGGTGAATATCCAGGAATGAGAATAAACAAAAAGCAAGGGTTAACCTTTCCAGGAGTAGCTTCCTATCAATTGTTAACTTAACATAGGGAGCTTCAGATCTGGCGGTTAGGAGCTATAAAGACTCCCACAATACATTGCAAGACAAGACGTATAGGCACAGCCCCCTCACAGAATTTAATAAAAATACATTATTTATTTTACGTCTACTATGTATGACATATGAAGTGTACCCACCCTTATATGTTTTGGCTTTCATAATGGTGAGCTTCAGCTTTCTTTTTTACCACGGTAGCATTCTGATCGTCGAACCTGCAAATGGTGAAGAAAGAGGAGCGACAGTAGAAACTACAATTAGCAGTATTCTTGTCTGGTATGACTTAGAACTGTGGGACGAAGTCTGAGTATCAGGAATAAAGCAAGACATGCGCAGTAACATGCAGACTCCATGCTGAAAACCCTTTGTGCACATTTGAACACGACTTGTTGTCTCCAAAGCAACATTATCTTCTCCAATGTGCAGCCCTAAATAAACATTAGCTGAGTGTACAGTAAATTGATTATTTTCTTTTTTTTTTTAAAGTAAATTCTGTATTTGAAAGCCTTTCTGCTTGCAGTATCTTGCAGTTTTTTCCTTCTTACTACCAGGTATCAAGTTGTCTAGTCCTTTAATGTCTGTGTTGTAACCCAGATGGGTTATGGGCCCTTTGACTTTATGCCTCAGATCGCCCGAGGCTTCAATCAGCCTGTACAAAGAAATGTGGGAAAAAAAGGAGAACATGTCACAGACTCCACAAACTAATGAAGACTTGCAGTGAGCTTCTAACAACCTGTAATCAAAGAGGAGCCCATTCGCTGACCTTGCTCTTTTCAAATTGGCATGTATGCAATTCACTGGAGCCTCAGACAAGTCAGAATAGAAGGTAGCCTTGAATATCTTCAGTTTTTTTTAAATATTTTAAATCTACCTGTGCATTAAGAGGTAAATTTTTGTCTATCAATGATCATATATGTGGTTGATTTTAATGTGGTTTAAAATTGTATCGATATATGTTGACTTAGAAACTTTAGACATTGTTTTTCCTCACCTCTCTGTTGATGTTGTGGGCTTTGGTCCAGTCACATAAAGGTGTTATTATCTTTTTTTAAATAACAATCAAGAGGATTATTGAAGCATCTTGTAATTTGGATAATGTCAATGTTATGTTGCTGATCATAGGGAAAATTTTAATCAACATTTATCCCACGAGTGGCCATGTGTGAGTGTTGTTTGTTTTAAAGCCAAATATTTATATGTAAAGGTTGGTTTTGCTGGTTGTGCTGTCTGTTTGATGGCTGTTTTACTTAACAGCCTACCTATTGAGCTCCTTCTAAATGTCAAATCTGCTGTCTAGCTCTGGGCTTCACCAGCGGATAAAGAAATAAAATGAAAGAACTCAGAAGACCCTGCCCTTGCAGTGAGTCCCTTGGCAGAACAAATAACTTTAAAATGCAATAAAAAAAAAACTTTGAAAGACTATATATTAAAAAGTCTATTTGTACTTAGTTACGTACTTAGTTTTGCAGCATTAAATGATGGAAAAGGTAAAGTGGGGAGAAAAAAATATGCTAAGAAATAATTGTTTTTGTACCATATCAATGAATTTTCATGGGCAACATAATTGATTCTCTTTGGACTTTGACTAGACCGTTGAAACACATGGATATGCTTCTAAGTTGGGGGTTGTTTTGGTCTTTTATGTTTTTTGCAACCTCTAACATGCGTCCTTCTGGATTTATCTCTGTTAATCTTACCATAAACTCTGACCAGCTTCCCAGTATTTGATTATTAAAACCACCCTGGAGCTTGATACTCAGTGATCAAGCTCTGCATTTTGCATGGTGGCAAAAATCTTCTTTTCTTACCAGCATACATGTTTAAATTCTCCAATTATATTATATTTGGAAAAAGGGACTTTGGATTCCCTTTTATTAAAAAAATTGCCATCATGGCTTAGTTTTAGAATCACAACCTTAGGGCAACAGAAAAGGATGGATGGATGGATGGATGGATGGATGGATGGATGGATGGATGGATGGATGGATGGATGGATGGATGGATGGATGGATGGATGGATGGATGGATGGATGGATGGATGGATGGATGGATGGATGGATGGATGGATGTGTAAATTTGAAGTTTTAACATTTTTCAGTCTCAATAGCATAATTCTGATTTGGTTTTAAACTTTTTGTTTTACATTTCCCTTATAGATATACAATAAATTATTGTCTCGTGTGCCTAGGGTTGCCATCTTTTATGACAGTAAGGGATGCCCTTGGCCCAATTTCCCAAAACGTCTTGGTGCTGATCAAGAAAGCAAAGCTTCACATTCTTAATTGGCAATTTTCATATTCCTCTAAGCCAAAGCTACATTTAAAGAAACGTAATCAAAACAATTAGGGAAATACAACAAACTCCCATATGCAGACCACTTAGTTACTACACGATTACCTACTTAATAAAAAGCTGTTTAATTCACTGCATAGCAGAGGAACTAGCACCTTAAAGTGGTCAGTTTTTATGAACTGTATAATAAAGAACTTGTAATATATTTGCTAAATAATAAATAATGTCTGAATTAAATGCATCTCATCCCACAATTCTTCTTTAAATTATCCTTAAATAAAGATTTTTGTACTCTTAATCAATATTAGTTACATTCTAAATATCCATTTAAATGTGTTAATACTTCATAGTATTAAATAATCATTGACTAAAAATCCTAAACATTTAATAGAAAAACAGTAAATGTAATGTATCATAACTCCATGCCATATCAGTCTTGGGAGATGGTTGGGGTATGAATGACTTAGTGTTTCTGTCCTTACTATGAACAGCCATTAAAAGCTTGCTGTGTGCCACTGTAAAAGCCTGGCATACTTTTAAACTCTCCCCGTTCTTATTCCCAGTGCTGCAAATCATCCACGGATTTGCTTCCTCCCACATTTCTGTATGTCTGAAAGCATTTTCTCCTGAGAAAGTGGTGAAGTGTTGTGTTTTGTGTCCATATCCGTGAAACCATTACAGCAGCAGACATGGAGCTGAGGAGGTCCTTCTTATATCCCACCACAAAAATTAGCTTCCTTTATTATTTCCGGTTAATATTATACATTCTTGTTGGGGTTAGTGACGATATTAGTGTGACAGACACGTTTACTCTATCAGAAATGTATGAAAATATGGGACCTTATTGGTTCAATACGGGAAACAGCATTCAACAGTCAAAGGGTGGTTCCATATTTTTGCCTTGGACACTGTAGTAGATATAAACTCAAATCTGCATAATTTAATGAACTTTTTCACTTTTGCTTGTTAAAACCACTTTATTTTTGTCTGTATTGTCAAAAGGCTGCCTAAATATATTATATTTATATTCAAATGTATTATAACATTATTCCTTCCTCAAAAGAAATAAGCATGTATCCCTTGTCATGTTTTTGCTATAGAAGAGGTAAACCTCTCCAAAACATTTTGTCAGTTAAGTATATTTGCTTTGCCACACAAGTGCTTCCAGCTTTAATAACACATAAAAAAGACCTTCGATAGTCGAAAGACTTTTCGACTTCAGTATGGTTTGAAAGACCTTCAACAAACAAATCGTTCACCTCTAAGGCAGCCTTGCTGGTTCATAAAGTTTTGACAGAAGTATTTGCAACCATGATATACAAACACCGTTTCCCTGCTTCTTTGTAGATCAAACATGAAAAAACAGAGAAGGAGTGTAAGCAGCTTCTGCTCAGGAGCCTGCAGTTCCTGGAGCGCTACATTTACCTCATCCTCTTCAATACTTACCTGCATCTTGAGAAGAAGGACTCCTGGCAGCGCTCCTTTTCCATGTGGATGGAACAGGTAAATCACCCTCTTACTATACACTTTCATTTATGTGCATTACCCTTTGTGTAAATACAATAAAATATAAAGTGTACTATTTAATAGTATGGATTATTATAATTAATTAGACACTATGTACAGTATAAAAGCAATTACTATCCTCACTATTTTATTAATTAATAGAATTATTTAGATTTACTGTTTACAAGTAAACACTGAATACATTCAATCCCCTTAATTCTGACACCCCAAGAGAGAGTTCATTGCAATTAGTTGCAATCAGGATATAAACAGAGTTCACTCATGTCTAAATTCATTTCAATGACACAATAAAAGCCTTAAAGAGTTTTTAAGGGATCATTGGTTAAAACATGTTTTTTTATAAACAGCTAAGAGACCTATTGCAACTCTGGAGAAGCTGCAGAGACATAAAGCTCGGGTGCATGACAGCTGCTTGTTTTGTGTTTAACAATCTTGTCTTTATGGAGAAAAAAAAGGAAGAGGAAAGCCACAAGAAAATGTATCTTTGGATTGATTAGAGGATCATTTCACAGGCGGACAGAATAATGCTCAAAACGATGAAAAAAAGATGACAACCTTCCTAGGGGTCAAAGAGTTTTTCTGAGACATATCTATTAATATTCATTGAGAGCATGCCAGGAGAAACATGCCAGAGAGCCCTGGAATTTTTGAAAAGAAAACTCTTTTTTTCTCTTCTTCTTAAAAGATAAATTAAAGAAAACAAAAGAAAAAAACAGCTAGTCAACCAAAATAGACCAGAACAACTGCTGTGAAAACAATTGTCACAGAAATATGCACAGTCATTCATGGAATTTTCTTTCTGTTATGAAGAGCAAATATATGCAGTGCATCAGAGTGGCTGTAATTGCCCAGTTATGCTATGAAAAAAAAAAAATACTGGGTTTTGTTCAGAGAGGAATATTCTGCTGGGAAAACCACTCGCTGTAACAATTTCCAAAATCATCCACAGAACATGAATGTCTTTGTTTAACCAGCTTCATTTCTGGAGCTACTTCTACCCTGATGTAATTTAAGAGGTTACTGTTAAACCATTTGAAGCTTTGTGTTAATTATTTCCTCCTGCTTTGACCAAACTTAGTCCTTATCAGTCGCTGTTATAATTTTTAGCGGTTGACTTGTAATATATATATATAAAAAAACATTTGTTCTTATGCAAATTGCTAATATGTTTCAATGTTGTGATCAACTGATTACTGCAGTTTCTAAATGTAAAAACAAACTGTTCAAATCACATGTTTGATGACAGTTTTATCAACTTACTCCAATTAGTTATGTTGTCCTTATTTAATGAATCAACCTTTATGAATATTTCCTTTTATATTAGTAGATTATTTAGTATTTTAACCTATTTTGCAAGCTGAATTCTGGGGGTATTTGTAAACTCACAGGGCCGGATCTATCAAAGGTTTGCGTGTATAAAAACGTGAGCTATTTCACTGCGCACGCTAAAAAATGTACAAACTGATCTATCAACAGCGTGCTAAAAGGATTTGGTCTTTAAAACGTGCTAAATAGCGCCTCTTATCCATTTAGTACTTTTTCTGCTATGAATATGCAATTTGGGGCGTTTACACGCAAAAGTGCGTCTTGTGGGAGGAGAACATGTAAATATATTAATTTAGCACTCGCAAAGTGATTTATCAAAGCTGAAAGCAATTTTGCTAACGGTATTTGACTCTATATTTAACACGTTTCAAAAGAAGGTGCAAATGGTCTGTATGCGTAATTGCGCACACATGGCAGCGGTTATTGTCGCAAGAAGGAGACATCGAAATGAAGCAAGGAGACGCAGAGAACGCATTTTTTCACTCCGTGTGAATATTTTTGGAATGAACGAGGAAACGATCATCAAAACATATCGTTTATCCAGCATTGCCATTTTGGAGCTGTTGGGGGAACTCCGAATGGATTTGGAGCCAGCCACAAGGAGGACCCACGCAATACCAGATATCACGAAACTCCTTGCAACATTGCACTTTTTTGCATCTGGGATCTCCCAATCTCGTTTTTCAGAAGTGCTGTCCGACGTTCTAAATGCCATGTCGCCCTGACGCCCTACCGGAGAACCCCGACACCCTGCGCCTGTGGAGCAACATGCCAATGCTGTCATCTTATCCACAGTCACTTCTTGTGAGCCATTTGGTATGTGCATTTTTCTACAGGCCGATACAAAACACCTGTTTTTTTTTTTTTGTTTTTTTTTTTTCTTACTGCGGTAAAGTAGAAATTCAGCCACATACCACCTTAGGGAATAAAGGTTGCCAAAGTTTATATATATATATATATATATATATATATATATATATATATATATATATATTTTTTTTTTTTGGAGGGGGTGGTGTTAAAATTTCTTAATGCACTAGTTTGCACAAACTACAAACTACTTTGCCGCAAACCACAAAACGCGCAAAACCATCATTTAAATAGGGCGTCTCCAACAGTTTTGCACCTGCCACCAGTTACGCAATCGCTCTTGTTAAATCACCCGCAAACCATGGTTCAGCCCCTCGCGCAAAATTCCACTTTGCGAGCGCAAATTACTGCACGCAAAATTGGATCTTGATAAATCCGGCCCACAGACACAAAAGAATCCATTTTGTGCAGCTTTGACATAAATCTACCAAAAATTTGTTGGCTAATCGTGTTGCCAGGGTTATTTTAACAGCAAGAGGTGTTGAACCCCAATTAATACGTCAGTGGAGGGTGTACGCTTAGCTGCTACTATCACATCTATTGTTGTTTTTTTTTTTAGCTTTTTAGTGTCATTACACTGTCACAAGTACAGAGCAATGAAATTAACTCTCTACATCTAACCCATCCCCTTTGTGAGCAGTGGGCTGCCATGGTGCAGCGCCCTGGGAGCAATGTGGGGTTAAAGATCTTTGCTCAGAGAGCCAGAATGGTAGTCTGTGGGAGTGGGTTTCAAACTGAGAACCTCAGGATTCTTATTTCTATGCCCTAACCACTAGGCCACCACTCCCTTTTGTCAGAACCTACAGTTTTAAAGAGGAACAACTCAATCATAAAAGTAGTAGCGTCCGCTGCTACTTGATTTGTTATAGTGATTGGCTGAAGCCAAACCTTTATATGTGAGCACCAGGTGTCGCTTCGATCAATCAGCTTAAAAGGTTTGGCTAAACAGAATTGATGGGAGCAGTCCCAGATTAATATTATGCAGAGCTAACCCTAAATGCTACACATTATTTAGCAATTTCCTTGCTTTAGCTTTCTTTGCAAAGCACTATTTATATAAACACTCAAAATCAAGTTATGCTTTGATATGTTGTTAAGTAGAAGCTCTTAAAACATTTTCTTTAAAACTAACTCCAGATCCAGGATTATTTACACTTAGTAATGATGACAAGGATGCAGAATGCACGTTATGGAGTTCTGTAAGTTGTCACCTAAATTGAGCTAATTTAGACAGGCTGCATGGCAGAGCAGCATAAACGTCTCTACTGTGTTTTGAAGCTGAGGTTGTGATGGAAGAAAAGTGGAGGATATTATACAAACATTTGTGACTTGATAGAAAAAGACATGCTAACAATAAGCACAGTAGGAAGGGAAAGCTTTTTTCAGTTAGTACATTTAATGGAGCCAAGTTTTAATGTTCCTCAAAAAGCAACCAGAACCATCTAACCATCCAGAACCAAGCACATCTAAAAGCACAAAGTCTCTCTCACAAATAATTGTGTGATTACACAATTTCAAATCGTTGCAAATTGCGCAAATTGAAAATACAAAATGGACATACTGTGATTTGAATGAAAGGTTTGAGGCTTCAAAACAGTACGTTTTGTGTTTAAACTCAGCCTGCTTTGTGCATAAAACACAGCTTTCCTGCATCTGCCTATCTGGGCTTTGTTTGGTTGCACCACTTTCTTTTGTTACGTGTGTCAGCCAACAAGCTGGGTGCTTAGAGTAAGCACATGGGTAATTATGGAGATAGGCTATTTCAGTTTGAAACCATTTGATGAGATCACCATGAGAAACCAGTGAGACCGAGAGCTTTAAGGGCTTCCCCTTTTCCCTGGGTTAACAGTGAGCTTAGAGACGCCCTGATTGAAGAAGAAACAAACTTTGGCCAGGGCTAAGACTGAGATTACATACCTACTCCTATGAATAATGACAAAGGTTTCACAGTGTAACACTCCTCTGGCTGCATTGTCTCCATATAGCGAGGATACCTGCCATGTGTGCTCTATTGTTGCAAATTGAGGTTGCTTTTAGAATGCACAAAATTATAGAAGACAAGTAAACAGTGGATTCATTTGCTGCTTTATTGGGTCATATTGTACCGATCAAATAAACATACACATTTTACCCATTTACAAAGCAGGGTTTTTTTCCAGCAGGCAGAAATCTACCCACATCCTTGCAACCCTGCCGGCCTGACCATCCTCTAAACAGATTACAGCTTGCAGACCTATTTTCCTCTCGTTCTGAGTTAATTGATATTCATATTCTCTAAGTTTCTTACAATAAAACTCTTGAAACATTTTTCCTCTACCAATCCTTTTTTCTTTCTTTCTTCTTGATCATAATTGCTCATAAACCATGAAAATATTCTCAGAACCTTCAAAAAATTGAAAAGGTGAAAAAATGTTTTTTTGTGTGCTTTTTTTTTTTACATTAAGTTAATTCCTTCCAGTTTTTTGTCTTACTTAAATAGCTCTGAGTGAACATCATTTGGTTCATATTGGACATGTGTCTTCACCATAAATTAAAATATTAAGTCCACTGTTTCTCCACATGTGTCAAATTGATATCTTACTGGAAAAATATTTAAAAAAAAAATTAACTGTACAGATCAGGGATTTTAATATTTAGTTTAAATTTCTGATAGCTAACGAGCCTTGTTTAGTTATGAACAACCAAATCTAAAGTAGATGATATTTACTGTGATATTTGATGCTGCTTTGTATTAACTAAGTATATTTTAATTAACGAAAGAAGATGTAAAACCAACAGCT